GGGACTAGGCCAGGTTCGACAGGACTGAAAGAGACTAGCAGAACTACGCCTGATGAGGCCGGGTCTCGACCACGGATGTACCAGCGCCGATGCTGAGTTTAGCCTCCCGGGAGCTGCATCCCATGCTGCATAATGAGGACAGGGTTCGCCCAGAACATCAAGGGCCATCTTGCGGACGAACATTCGCCGGTGACCTGGGGCAGAGGCAGGTGGCGCCAACGAAGCACAGGCCACGTGCGCCACCGCGTGCCCAGGAAAAACACACTGCAGAGTGCCGGCCAGGGAGGAGGAGGAGGAGGAGAAGGACGACGACGGCTGGAAGGAAGAGGAACACGTGCCGGAGGCCCCTCGTGGGCTGCTCAGAGTGGCCGGGCCCGACCATTGCGGCGCGGCCACGCGTCACCAGGGAGGCACCTTGCCGCCTGGCCCCCTGCCCCCCCGAACGAGAGGGAGGAGAAGGAGGAGGATCAGGGAGAGGAGGAGGAGGAGGAGGAGGAGGAGGAGGAGGAGGAGGACCAGAGCAAGTCCAGGTTGCAACAACTATGCTGCAATACCCTCCCCTTCCAAGTCCTCTCCTCACAAGTCCATACAAATACTTGTCTCCACTGCGGGAACCGCCCCCCTTCAATGACGAGCGCCTGGTGGGCATGCCACTCGGGCGAGACCTGCTTTCGCAAAGTTTCTACCATCCACCCAGGTTTCTAGGCAGAAGCATCGCAAAACAAGTATGATGGTAAAGTCTCGAGCCAACTCCACCGTGTAGCCACTACTCAATGAAGATACGCCCTCCAACCGTGTAAGGGTTGCGACACTTCATAGTTCCGATCATTGAAATACTCGGAAATCTAAAGCGAAAGACCCATTTTGAAAAGGAGGCGCCCTCCACCCGCGTAGGTGTTGTACTATTTGGATTTTCGGGCAGTAGATTTTGAAGACGGCTCAAGCGAACGCAGCATTTCGAGACCGAGCAACAGTCCTCCTGTTGAGCTGCTAGATGTGTAAACGAATTGTTCCGTATCGCAAAACACGAGGCGCTAAAGCGAGATCATAATGTGCACAGAGCTGGGCTCGACCTTTACAATCAACTAGGAGCATTGAAAACAAACGTACGCTGCGCTGAAGCGAAAGCCGCATCTTGAAAACCACGGGCTCTCCATCCTTGTAGCTGTTGGAAGCTTTTAAAAGCGAATGCGCGCGGCGCTGCGGCGGGAACCCCACGTTGAAGGCGACCAGCTCTCCATAACCATCGGACCTGTAGCCTCCGGGATGTCCATTCACATGCATCGGAGATGCGCTGTAAGGGTTTGTAGCGGCGCCCGGTCCTCTCGACGCCAGCGAGCCCCGAGGCGGCCTCGGGAGGCGCAAGGCAAGCCCAAAAACGGCCTGAGAGGGCCCCGAGTCTGCCCAAGACGGACCCGAGACAGCCCAAAAAGGTTTCAATCGGCCCCTGGGATGGGCAAGACTGTCCAAAATGCTCTCAAGACTGCCCAGAAGGCCCCCAAGACCCCCTAAGGTCCCACAAGGACCCCCACCAGGGCCCCGAACAGCCAAAATCAATGATTTTAGGGTTATGCAAGATGCCGTATTTCTCGCACATCTGGGCTTCAGGGGCCCCAAGACGGCCCAACAAGCCACCAAGATCGCACCGAGACGGCCCAAGAGGCCCGCAAGAGACCCCCAAAACAACCGAATAAGATCCCAGCCCCCAAGACAAATAGAGAGGGGCCCAATACGGCCCAAGAGCCCCCCCCAAACGATGGCCCAAGAAACCCCACAATGGATCCCAGAGACCCGAATACAGTTCCAGGAGCCCAGAATTTGTCCAAGAAAACCCGATGGCAACCCAAAATGCTGCTGAGACGCCCCAAAAGGCCGCCAAGATGCCCCAGGACGACACCCAAGAGGCCCTCAAAAGGTCAACGGCAATGTTTCCGAGCCAGAAACAAGCACGCGCGTCTGCAAACGGTGACTCGCGTAGTTCCATGGATTTACTCCACGGGTCCACACTACAGGCGCGTGCTCGCTTTACTGTTGAAAATATGGGCGATGCTGCGTCCAAAAGTCTCAACGTACCAACACATGCTGAATGAGCGCAGCCTAAGTCTACGGCACACCATATTATCGCATGTTCTCTGAACACGTAATACATGTTATGCTGACTCATCACATCTCACACGATTGCATCCGATCCCATCATCGAAGGCGTTGCCAAGCGGGCGAAGGCGTTTCAGCGAGGGGAGGGGTGCGGGGGAAGGGATGGCGGCCGCCCTGACCTCCCAGGCGCTATCCAGACGCTGCATCCTCGTCCTTGGCACCGCACACGCACCAACGCCCCCTCCTGCGAAGGGCGGCAAGGCCCCGCTTGGGACACTGCTCTTTGATACAATGCTGAACACGCACGGCGCCCAGCCCCACCCCGCCGCCCCCCCTCCCCCTCCCCTCCTTGTGACTGCACGCGCAATGGATCCCCTACTCTTACGGAGTTGGGCCGGAAGCAAGAGTAAGACACGAAGCAGGCGCGCGAAGGCGGCGCGCGCAGGGAGGGGCGACGCATCCCGACCAATGAACCACGTGGGAGCGGCAAGGCGGGGAAGCCGGGATGACGCGCATCTCGGGCGAAGATGGCGCGCAAGTGACGCGGCACCCCTGCTCCGAGCTTGCTCCGAGCCCAGGAACAGAACATCACCGCCAGTGGGCTCACTCAGAGTGCAGGCGGCCGCATCGACGACAACGCCGAGGATGAGGCGGCGATGGCGACGCCGTCGCGACCGCCGGCCTCGCCATCAGTTTTCTGGCGACGGCCTCATCGGGAAAAGAAACCCGGGGGGGACAAAAAATACAAAAGAACAAAGAACAAAGGATCAACAACCAAAAATAAAAACGCGAACGTTCGCGCAAGGAATATGCAGGAATAGGTCTTGCAGGAGTAACAATCACTCGATACTCTGTCGCAACGTTGTTGCGTGAGTATCCGCCTATCTGGGCGGATTCTAAACTTGGGCTTGGGTGTCAGGGGCTTCCACCAGATCAGAAAAGTCCGCCGCGCGCGGGCCCCCTGATGGCCCCGAGACGAACCAGCGATGAATCCTGGATGGCCGCCGTCGCAAGTGGTTGCCCCGATGACTGCTGGGCCAGAATCACTCACCGCGCATGCATTTGTCGACGCGTACGCGGGCCCTTTCGCGAACGCGAACGGGCGCGAGCGCACGCGCGCGGCGCTACCCAAGCCGCCTCCAAGCTCACGACGCGCCGCGTATCATGCTCGCCGGTCGCCCGACCCGCATCTGCCCTTCGTTCCTGAGCAACAAAGGAGGAACAATACTTCAGTTCCACGTTGCATATCCCCAAACGGGGTGGCAAGCCCGCGCCGATATATATATATATATAAATATATATATACACATACATACATACATACATACATACATACATACATACATACATACATACATACATACATACATACATACATATACATATACATACATATACATATATATACATATACATATACATATACATATACATATACATATACATATACATATACATATACATATACATATACATATACATATACATATACATATACATATACATATACATATACATATACATATACATATACATATACATATACATATGCATATACATATACATATACATATACATCTACACATACATACATACATACATACATACATACATACATACATACATGCATGCATGCATGCATGCATGCATACATTCATTCATACATACATACATACATGCATGCATGCATGCATGCATACATACATACATACATACATACATACATACATACATACCTATGTGTATATATACATGTGTATATGCACGGGCGACGCCTGTCGGGACGCACCATCAACGCACGCGCCCCATCATCTGACGCGCCCGCGGTTTCGGCGCTCTGCCACGCGCAGGGCCCACGCCGACATAGCCCAAGGCCCGCGGTGGCTGCGCGGAAGCCACAACGCACTGGCGATGCCTGCGCCCGCCCCGTTAGTTTACGCGCCCGCTGCGCCTGCGCCTCGCCATGCGCAGCGCAAGGTACAAATCAGGAATGGACCCACGCGGCTTCGGAGGAACCGCTGTGGTCGAGACGATGGCGACGTCAAAGATGACGGCGATGGCGACGGCGGCACTCTGGGCCATGATGCGCGATCCTCTGCGCTGCGCCCCGTCGCGCGCCCCCCCCGGCCGGGCGAAAGTTCTTCCTCTGCTTCAGGAGGTAGCAAGGAAAAACGGCTGCAGTGTGTGTACGTTTATGCATTTGCGTATGAATGTGTATGTGTATGCGCACGTGCATGTGCATGTCTATCTAGATATATGGATAGATATGTGTATATAGATATCCATTCAAATAAAGCCGAAAGATATTTTGTGGGTTTGCGTGGGCCCTCGGTCCCAGGAGCCCTCAGAGAACCCCGAAACGGCTCCGGAGGGCCCCCGGAAGAGCCCGAAACGGCACTGGAGCTCCCCAGAAGAGCCCCGAGACGGCCCATGGAGGCCCCGAGAAGACCCAAGACGGCTTTCAGGCGGTCCAAGATGTTCTCCAGACGGCCCCATGAGCCCCAAAGACGGCATTTTCATAGAACTATGAAGATATACACACATATATATATATATATGTACACATAGATATATACACACGCGTCGCAAGGAAACCTCAAACGAATGTTAGCCTAATCGGGTACGTCTGGTGGTGCGACCGGGGGGGTATTATGAGGAAGAGGTAGCTGAATGAGGAGGAGGGGGGCCAGAGGAGAAGAGGAACACCAAAAGCAGCAAACAGGCGAAGGAAAAAGCTCCGAATTTGCGCTGAGCAAAAGCTGGACGGCTAGGGGCTAGCTCGATTGGTATGCTGCTCTTGCGCAGTACCTGCTTGACGGCTTGCAGACGGCCGCCATACTCACTCATGGGCCCTCGCTGACGGTGGAGGCAAAGGGTCCCCGAAAGGCCAGCGACCCGCTCGCGCATCACAACCCGTCATTTGCAGACCCGCGTGCTGGGACCAAGAGGTGCAAACGAACGGGCGAGGCTTTAAAATGCGAATGGCTTCCGCGACTATCCGTACAGCCACCAGCAATGAAAGGATGTGCTGGTGGGCATCCAATAAGAAGCTTTGGCAGCGCAAACGAGTTCACCAACGACGCCGGTGAGGGCGCTGAAAGCGCTGCACGACTCCTGCCGCGTGCCATCCTCGGAGCAGTGCCTATGACATGACGTCCTGCCCAACGCCGAATCGTACCAGAAAGCTCGAACACACACACACACATGGCCCGATTCACGTGCGATACATGGGGGGAGGCCCTTCGGAGGATGCGCGCGTGGAGACTCACCGTGCCCGGCCACACTGCACAGGGCCGAGCGCCGGAGAGGGGCCCCACACACGTCAACCACGCCAGTTGGGGCGACTCCGGACGACATGAGCCCGCAAATGTGGACATCCCACCTGAGCTTCCTCCCGCCTTCCGCCATCGGACCCGCCACCGTCTTACGCCTGCCGTCCTCCGCTGAGCCTCCCGCCGGCCTGCCGCCGAGGAAGGGATGCCAGGCCTCTCCGCCGCTCGAGGGCGAGGCCCTCTCTGGGGCGCGCCGCGCGTGCCAAGCCCTCCCGACGGACGCTTGGCCCCTCCGCCGGCGAGCGTGAGATCGCTTCCTGCTGCCAAAATCATGCGAAACGAGCGCTCGGGCGCGAGGGCCCCCTGCTGCGGCAGCCGCCGCTCCCCGCTGCACTGCCGCGGCGGCGCCAGCCCCTCTGCCGCTCTCACGTGGAGGGGTCGCGACGAAGATGAGGAAGGACCACGTAACCACTCCGCCGACCTCCCCCGACGGGGAGGGTCAGGAGGCCGATGAGCCTTCGTACGAGCAATCTGGGCTTGCACCCCTTGTCCTTACCGACAGCTCCTCCCTGTCGCACCCACAGACATGTTGGCAGGGCGGGCTGGGCGTTTCGCCTGAGACTCCCTCGCAATTTCAGATTATGAAGCTGAAAATGTGCAGGACCTGTGCAAGGATGGAGGTCGGCTGGTTTCCAAAATTTGGCTCTCGTCTTTGCGCCGCGCACGTTTGCAGTAAGAGTTTGCAACAGAATATATAATGGAGGGCGGCTCCTTTTCCATATGTGGCACTCGCCTTAGCACCGCACACACTCGTCTTAAAGTCTGCAACCTGATCAGGGGTTCGTATGGTTGAGTCCTAGGAATGGTATGCTGGCCCGATTTGGGATTGGCAGGATACAACAGTCGCGCTGCTTGCTGTACTGAACTCCCAGGAATGGTGTTCTGGCACCACTTCTGATTGACAGGACGCAACAGTCATGTTGACTCAGGGCGCTGAAGTGCCAGGAAATGCGTCTTGGCACGATTAAAGATTATCAAACGTTTGTCTTCAAACCGGACACTTCCCGCAATGAAAATACATTATTGCAGGGACCTACAACTAACAGCGAACGTGAAGGGAGGGTGAATTGCAACAGTATTGATGCGTCTCGGGTTTTCACCGGTATCCCCCCTCCTCACCCTCCCCCTCCTCCTCCTCCTCCTCCCCTTCCTCTTCCTCACCATCATCATCATCATCATCATCATCATCATCATCATCATCATCATCATCATCATCATCATCATCATCATTGACCTCCACTTCCACCTCCACCTCTTCATCCTCCTCCTCCTCCTCCTCCTCCCCATCATCATCATCATCATCATCATCATCATCATCATCATCAGCAGCATCATCAGCATCATCATCCTCATAGTCCCTCTCTCTCTCGTTATCGCTCTCTCTCTCTATCTCTCTCACTCTCTTTCTCTGTCTCTCTCTCTCTCTCTCTCTCTCTCCCCCTCTCCGTTGTCTCTCTCCCTCTCTTCCTCCCCGAAGTGTTCCCCGAGGGGATCCGCAGCGGCTGGGAGAACGCACAGTCCACTAGCCAACGTCTGGCCACCTGTCAGAGAGGTGGCCCCGAGGCGGGGGGGGCTCTGCGTCCCCCGGCCTCGGTCGAAGCAGGCGGCCCGAAATCCAGAGCCCCTCCTGAACCCGAAGGTGTTCCTTCTGTCGGCGCCATGGCTGGCTGTTGTGCTCGGGGGGGAGGGGGGGGGGGAAGGGGGGGGGGGGGGGGGGAATCCCATCCAACCTCTCGGGGGGTCCGAGCTGGTGCTTGCAAGCTGAGGCGTCAGAGGAGGACAGACGGGAGGAGGAGGAGGCGCCCTGGGACCCTGGAAAGGCAGCCGCCCTGGCGCGAGACAGCTCGGCTGGCCCCTGGGTCCCGGAATGGCGAGATCTGGGCTCGCGGTCATGCTGCTCCTCCCCCTAGAACCTCCGGCAGACCTGGTCATTGCATCCAGCCTCACTCTCTCCACGGACGCGTCGCAGCCTGCCAGGAGGGGAGGAGAAGACGGGGGAGGAGAGGAGGAGAGGAGGAGGAGGAGGAGGAGGAGGAGGAGGAGGAGGAGGAGGAGGAGGAGGAGGAGGGGAGAGAGGAGGCAAGGGGCCCGCCTGGCGAGGGAGACGGGAAGGATAAGAGGACGCAGGTGTGGGGGGGGGGGCGGGCGAGCAAGACGAGATGGAGAACGAGGAGGACGAGGACGAGGACGAGTGACGAGGAGAACGAGGAAGACGAGAAGGAGAGCGAGGAAGACGAGGAGGAGGACGAGAAGGAGAACGAGGAGGGCGAGGACGAACCACTCGCGGAGGGGACCTCGCTGGCGTCGCTCGAGACCTCGATGGGGCCGTTGACGAGGGGCGAAGGAGACAGCAGCAGCAGCAGCAGCAGCAGCAGCAACAGCAGCAGCAGCAGCAGCAGCAGCAGTTGCCGCGGCGGCGGCGGCACGCCACAAGGCATCCTGGCTGGGGGGCGGCGCCCGCACGGCGGCCCGCTCCCACGGCATCCCCGGCTCCCTCCTCCTCCAGGGGAAAGAAAAAGCCCTACACAAACGCAAACGCTCGCGGATCCTCCGCCTCCTGAAACCCTTTTTCCTGGGAGGCCAGGGAAGCTCAAGGGGCCCAGGGACACCCGAATGAAGAGACACGAATCCCAGGATTCCCCTACGTTTTGTTAGTATCTTCTGAAATTTCGGCTCCCTCTCCACTTCCCGTATGTTCCCCACACTTTCCTGGGAATCGACGCTCATTTGTGTCTGTGCCCATTTTAGACAAGCGCGCTCCACTACTCGCAAAGTAACTGCTCAAAAATGGCCTGGATCCGCAGAGGGGAATCCGCGATCAACTACATCGAGGCAAACGTTGGTCTTTCCTAGACGTCTGCGAGCAGGCACGTTGTAAGTAGTGGCACACGCTCGGAGATCTTGCCCCACCGAGAAACGACGCATGGCCAAACCCGCGTCCGGCACGCCGTGGTGGGACCCACGGGCGAAGACGGGCACCGCGCCTGGCCACACGGGGACCCCGCACTGGAGAGCCGTGCGGCCCGCGCAGCATCCCGGCTCCCACCCGGGCCAGCCACGCCATGCGGCGGGCTCCGGACATGCAGCCCATCAGTGCAGAAAAGGCTTCACGATAAGGATGCAGGGGCCTTGGACGCCCATTGCGACGCTCGTCGAGCGGGGCGCGGCCAACGAAAGCGGCGAAGGATGGACCGAGGAGCTAGGGATGCAAGAGTAATTACCCTTGGGAAGGTTGCCCATCCTTGCTATGCGGGTTGACGGTGACCAGCGTCGAGCTTACATATGCCTAACTCCAAGATTGACAAGCCCCAGGGCGATGTCAATCTCAGGGATGCTAAGTGAACCCATAAGATCGGCATCGAGATAAGCCGATGCCAATCATAAGGATAGGGATATGCTCCAGGCTGGTAAGGACACCCTAACCCCCAAGACAGTGGGGCTTCCTTGGAGGGCCGGCTTCTACTTCCGCCGGCTTCCGCCGAGGAAGAGATGCCAACTCCTTCGATGCTCGAAGGCGAGGCCCTCCCTGGAACGCCTCCAGCGCACCCAGCCTCCGGCCATGCCTGTGCCGGCTCTGCTCCCCCGAGGTCCTCGAGCACTGCCCGCCGCAGGTCACGAACTGAAAGACGCTCTCCCAGGCGCCCCCTGGCTGCCGCCGCCGCCGGTCCGCCACCTCGAAGACGGGCGGCCTCGGAGGGCCGGGCGGAGGGGCACCCCCAGCCCGACCGCGGGTGTCCGGCCCGAAGAAGCCCGGCCCCGATCGGACCGCCAGGCCGGCGACCTGCCCGAGCCCCAACCTCCTCCTCCTCCTCCTCCTCCTCCTCCTCCTCCTCCTCCTCCTCCTCCTCCTCCTCCTCCTCCTCCTCCTCCTCCTCCTCCTCCTCCTCCTCCTCCTCCTCCTCCTCCTCCTCCTCCTCCTCCTCCTCCTCCTCCTCCTCCTCTCCTCCTCCCCTCCCCCTCCCCCCTCCCCTCCTCCTCCTCCTCCTCCTCCTCCTCCTCCTCCTCCTCCTCCTCCTCCTCCTCCTCCTCCTCCTCCTCCTCCTCCTCCTCCTCCTCCTCCTCCTCCTCCTCCCTCCTCCTCCTCCTCCTCCTCCTCCTCCTCCTCCTCCTCCTCCCGCCGTGGGAAAACCACGGCGGGAGGCTCTTGGCCGTCTCGGGCGGGCGGCCATGGGGGTGGCCTCAATCGAGGGGTGACGCAAGAAGGCTATAAAAAGGGGGCCCCTGAAAGGGCCCCTTTCTTCCCCCCCCCCTGTTGGTCACCACCCATTACCACCCGCCCGACTCAGGAGGTCCTCACCTGGTCCCGGCACCATGGACAAAAAAACAGCGCGGGATATAAAAAACGGTCCCTCGGAAGAGAAGGTCCAGGCCTCCAGGGAACCACGCTGCGAAAAAACACGACGCAGGTGGACTAGGGAACTGGGGCCCTCTGAGCGGGTGGCTCGACGTTGACCGCGTCAGACGGGGGGTCGGGCTCTGGGATGCGGCAGACTGGTGGCTCTTCGAAGGGCTGGACTGCGCTGTACATCCCCTCCACCGGGACCAGGGGTACCTGCGTCGTCGAAGCGCGCCTCGACAGGATGTAGAGACCCGTCGCGCCAGAGAGGATCCCCGCGGACAGAAGGCCCTCCCACGCCTTCAGCGCGCGCGCTGGCCACGAGTCAATCGCTAGGGCAAGGTTTCTCGGCTCGGCGGTCGCGGTGGTGAGCGTAGACGTGGCAGTGTTGGAAGTACCGGTCGCTGTCAAAGTCGTGGCCGTGGCGGTCCCTGTGACAGACGAAGTGGTTGTGGTGTACGTGCGGCTTGTTCCAGTGCTCGTGCTGGAAAGATCTGTTTGGGTGCGCGTGGTGGTTGTCTCAGTATCAACTAAAGTTGTGCGGGTGCGGGTCAGAGTTGTGCGGGTGCGGGTCAGAGTTGTGCGGGTGCTGGCTGATGCCTTTGAAGAGGTGCTGACCGTAGTGGTCGACGTCGTAGGAAGGCGAATTATGACTGCCACTGAAGTAGTTGCGCTTGTCATGGAGGTGGTCGTGTTCGCAACAACCAGCGCACCGCGGCCCAGGGTTACCCGCCCATCCGGAGATGTGTTCGCTGACATGTCCGCAGCCACGTTCACTGTCGCGCTTGGCTCTGCGTCCCCTTCGACTTTGACTGCTGACGTCTGGCTATTCTGGCGATCCAGATCCAACGCCAACTGCCTGACGTCTACGTCCTCGACCTCGTCAGAGCTCAGCGCCTGGTCCCGATCCGAGTCCAGCCTCTGGAACGCGTCTGCGGCGACACTGCGCGAGAGGCCACGGTTCTGCTCCCTGAACACGGCCACGAACTCTCCGAAATCAACTTGGTCGTTCCGGTCGACGTCCATCACCTTCAGAGCCTTTGTTGGGCGGCGAGCAAAACAAGGGGCGGCCGTCGAAGAAGGCAGGGCGCCTCTTAGAATGGATCGCCCAGTGCTGAGAGGCTTCTAGGAATGCCTCTGAACATGCAGGATGATTCCCAAGAGGTGGGGGCACCTTCTTAGAAGGCCACCCTCCCCCACTCTACCCCCTCCCCAAGCATCCAAAGACGTGATGTTTTCACAGCGTGGCTCCCCAGAGGTCTGGACCCCTTGCCCGTTGACCGGCTTGTCGTCCTGAGCCACTGGAGGCCGAAAGTTGCCAAAAGCCTTCCATCGCGCCCTTTGCACAACGCGAGGATGTCAGGGCCTGCGCGCAGCCATTGGAGGAAGAGAAAACGAAGACCACGACCAGAACTGAACGCGGGAAAAGGAAACTCGGTGCCGACTTTGGTCACCGTCACGTCTGGTCATCATCGACTCCTGGACCTTCCTCGCGAATCGGAGACGGCCAGCATGGACCATGGCGAAGATCGGCGTCGACGCGATCCCGCGACAGCCCGGGCATCGTGCCTCTTCCCTCGAGGCGCGCCTTCCAGGCGAGGGGGACGCCGCTGGCGCTCTGACCCAGCATGCGGGCGGCCGTGCCCCAGGTGCCCGCGGCCGCCGCGAGCACGGCCGCGACCAGCAGGACCAGCTCGAGCGCCGCCCTCAGCCTCGGCGGGCAGCGCGGCGCTCCGCGCCCGTCCTGCGGCGGGGCCGGCACGAGGGCGCCTCGAAATCGCCACGTCTCCACAGCCCTCCTCCTCCTCCTCCTCCTCCTCCTCCTCCTCCTCCTCCTCCTCCTCCTCCTCCTCCTCCTCCTCCTCCTCCTCCTCTGGTAATGCTTCGGGCTGCGCAGAGGCAGCAGCTGGCCTCCACGGGCGCCCCGAGGAGTCCCAGCTGGCCTCAACAGGCCCCCCCGCGCAGCCTGGGGCGGCCTCGACCCCCCAGCGCGCCGCCTCCGGCAGCGCCCCTGGGGCACTGGGACTACGCGGAGGGCCTGTTGAGGTCCGCTGGGGTTGCCTGGGGGTGCTGTCCGCGCGCAATCCGAAGCCGTACCATCCATACGTATCCCTGCCCTCGCGCTGTGGCTTCCAGGGCGCGATGCCACAGATGCGCCATCGCATGGAATGCGTTCCGCCCTGGGCATCTGCGCAGAAGCCCGCCCCGCAGCCGTGGGGTCGCGGCCGAGGAGCTCGGCACGGGAGGCCGTGAGCTGCGGACGGGTGCTCCCGGCACACAACGAGAGCATGGGGAGCTTCGCCTCGCGCCCCGCGCGCCGCGCAAAGAGGCGCAGAGCGGCAGCCCTCGCGCTGCGTCCCCCAACGTGGCAGGACGGTCTTCCTCCAAATAGGCTTGCCCTATAGGAGTTCTAGCTCATCATAAGCAATTGGTATTTAAGACCCCCCCCTTCTTCCAATGGCCCCCCCCTTTTTCCAGTGGCATCCCTCCTTGTTTTCCAATGGCATTTGCTTGCTTGCTCTTGCGTGATTGTTCTCGCTTGCTTGTTCTTGTTTGCACTCGCTTGCTTGCGCTTGATCACTGATTATTGCTTGCTTGTTTTGACTCGAATCCACTTGCTTGCTTCCGCTTGCTTGCTTGCGCCTGCTTGATTTTGTTCCTCCAGTTTTCTTCCCGTCCTGCTCCCGTCCTCCTTTCGTCCCCCTCCCAGCCTCCTTTCGTCCTCATCCTGTCCTCCTATCGATTTGGAGTCAACGCTGGCTGATATGTGGCCCATGGCGCGCCGCGCGAGGCGCGGATCTCTTCGCGCCCACGGCGGGTGGCCTGGGGTACCTTGGCAACGTTTTGTTGTGTGGAATGGTTTGTGTATGTATGTATGTATGTATGTATATATATATATGTATATATATATAAATATATATATATATATATATATATATATGACTATCCGTACATATCTCCCTATGTACTTGTTTATCTCTCTCTCTCTCTGTCGCTCTCTCTCTCTATCTCTCTCTTTCTCTTTCTCTCTTTCTCTTTCTCTATTTCTCTCTCTCTCTCTCTCTCTCTCTTTTTCTCTCTCTCTCTCTCTCTCTTTCTCTGTTTCTCTATTTCTCTATAGATTTCCCTCATTGTATTGTTTTGGCTCTCTCTCTCTCTCTTTTTTTTCTCTCTCTCTCTCTCTTTCTTTCTCTCTCTCTCTCTCTCTCTCTCTCTCTCTCTCTCTCTCTCTCTCTCTCTCTCTCTATATATATGCATATATATGTATCCCTCTCTCTTTCTCTGTATATACATACATACGACTCCTTCTGTATGGCTATACATACATACATACATTTGCATGTGTATATGTGTAGATATGTGCATGTATACATGAATACATGTACATATAAATTGTTCGATTCTATACACACAGATTATATAAGCATAGATGCACACCTATATATACACATCGATGCATACATATATATATATATACACCGTACATAGACCTCAGACCTCTGAAGTCCTGATGTTCTCCCTGCGCGGACCCCCGAACCCTCGACCCCTCCCATTTGACTGGCGTTTCGTCCTGGATCGTTTTTGAAAGTGCTGGGGCCATGACACGGACGGCAACCAGCTGCACAAAAAAACATCAAAAATGTTTTGTCCCGATATCGGTTTGCCGTTTATTTGCAATGGCGTTCTTCGGGTTGCGTCGGGTTCACCGGGTTCGATTGGTTTTGTTGTCATCGTGTTTTTGAAAGGCCAGCCTTCCTCGGGTTCCTTGAGGGCCCGCGGGTTCCCTGGGTCCTTTTGGTATTGTTTTCGTTTTGCTGCGAAGGGCAGCCTTCGTCGGCTTCCCCGGGCCCCTGAGTTCTGGCATTGCTTCCTTGCCGTTTTGAAGCAACGCCAAGCAGCGTCAAACAGTTCACAGAAACGCCTGGCAATGCCAATTGATGCCAAGTAATACCAAGCGACGCAAAACATAAATAACAATGTCAAGCAGCGCAAAGATACGCCAGGCATCGCCAAGCAAAGCAAAGCAACGCCAAGCGATGCCAAGCAACGCCGAGCAACGCAAAGCAACGCAACACCTTCTGCATCAAAGAGGCCACGGATGAGGAGGGGTCTCAGAGGCCCCCATCACCCTCATACTTCTCCTTCTAAACGCACGATACTTCTGCTAGTGCCCCCATCGCGCCCACGGGGCCGTCGAGCCTCGTTGGCCCCAGACTCCGCGAGAGCGAACCTGGTCTTTGCGAGCATCGAACATTGGATTGGGTCCACGCAGGGGCCAATTCCTCGGCCGGCTCGCTTAGCTGCTACATCCGCTCCGCCGACCCAATCCTCTCCGACTCATAACTTTCCCCCCTGAAACTGATACCAGCTCTTCGCGAGGCGGGAGCGGACGGCCAGGGCCCAGTAGGACCATCAGCCGCGATAACTTGCCGAGCTTCTCCATGGCCGTGGGCTTCGGCAAAATATCGTCCTCGCTGTCAAATCTTCTCGAAATCCAACCCTTTCTGCTCTCGCCATCGCTGCGGGGCAACGCAGCGCATCTCGATGCCGCCCACATTGCCAGCGCCTCTCTTCTTCGCGATGCGCAGGCCACTGCCGCGTCGCTGGCCAACACTGGCGCAATCTCATCCCCCCGCTCATCCATCAGCGACGCTAGGTCCAGCGCGCCCGCCGCTCCAGAGCCGCGGGCGCACAGCTCGCTCTCGGCCGCCCCCCGGGCAACGCAACCCTTGCCCTGCGACCACGATAGCACCGCGCAGCCGTAATACTGAGCGCCGCCGCCGCTGACCGAAATCGTCGCCCTCGTTGTCGGCCCAGTCCGCCACTACCCTGCGCCGGACGATTCGGCCGCGCTGCTTGCTGGGGGACAAGCGTCGTCGCCGCCCCCCTGGCCCCTGCCAGGTACACTGCCATCTCCTCGAGACGTCGTTGGTCCCCCTGGGTTGGCGCTGCCACGCCGCGGCCGAGCACTCCAATTCCACGCCGCATGGCATGCGATGGCGGAGCAGCTGCAGTAGCTTGCCCACCCACATCCTGCATGCCCAATGGCCCTTCGCATCGATACACTCGCCGCCGCCCCCCCGGCCCATCTCGTTCGCCCCCAGCCGCGTCGCGAGCTTCGCGTTGCCCACGAGCCCCAGCCCCATCAGCCCGCCATTGGTCAGATTGGTCTTGCCCGCAATGGCGAAGGCGAAGCCGCAATTGATCTCGCACATCTGCGCGCTCGGCGTCCGAGGAGCTTCAGCTTCTCGCCCATCTCCATAAGTAGCTGGTTCACTGCGCCCCTGGGGCCCGTTACCAACTCTTCTGCATGTTAATCCGTTTCGATATCGCCCTCCGCCCCCATGAACATGCATCCTCCGATCGCCCTCTGCCCAGACCCATCTGCTCCATCGCGCGCGCGCGCCGCGGTGCCACTGTTCCTCGGGGGCCCCCGCAGGTTCCGGAACGGCACGCAGGGAGGGCGCACGGGGCCTCCTGTCCTCCGCCTGGGGCGCCTGGAAGAATATACAACTGCAGCCGCCGAGCGCCCCGGCGCAGCCGTTCACCTCCGCGCTGGTCAGCATCGCCTGCAGCTGGGGCAGCGACGGAGCGGCGACCACGAAGTTCTCGCGGTCGGAGAACCGAGGCTCGAAACTACGCGTCGCAGGCCTTCGCCCCCACGGTGCCCACGCCATCATGTCGAACAATGCTGGGCACCACCGCCTGACCCCCACCTTCCGCCGCATGGCTCGTGATCGGCGAATTCCCATCAGGGTGCCGATCAGGCGCTCGCCCGCCCTCGCGCCTCTGCCATGCCAGAACACTTCCAGCCAGGAAAGCTCAAGCTTTTTGATGCGCGCCCCTGGTCGTCTGCACGCCACTGCATACTTGATCACGCGCGTCTTCTCGTAGCGGGTCAGGCCGGCGCCCTCCCACACCACGCTTCGGCGGTGGAGCCCCGCGCCGCGCCTGGGGGCCAGGTGCGGAATGACGGCTCCGACATGAACAGCCTGCCTCCAAGCGTCTGGGATGCTGCGAGCATCAGTGCCGTGACCTGCTTCCTCGTGGTCTGGATAGCTCGCTCTGCCCATCCATTGGTCTGGGATTTGCGCCACCCCCCCGACTGCCCCACGACGATCTCCGCGCGCATCCCGCCCTGGATCGCCCTAGCCCTCACCGCTGCGATGAGAGCGGCCCCCGCTACTCCACCAGCTTGCAGCCCCGCTCGCGAGTGGCCGAGCTCTGCCAACCTCGACGTTGCCGAGGCTATCGCGTAGACGTCGTCGAGGCCGTCATTGACGATCGCTGCGCTCCATGCGCTGCCCGCCCACGCGTCGTTACCGACCACGATCTCACAGTTGACGGGGGCGCCCTCCTGTCCCGCCTGGCCGCAGTCGAGCTGGCCAGAAGGGATGGCGCCGCCCACCGTCGACACGTTTGCGCGTCTGGCCTTCATTCGCACGCAGACCTCGCGCCGAGGATCGCCCGGTGGCGAGCAAGCCCGCGCCTCTCGATCTCCTGTGCGCCGGGCCCCCATTGGCCCCGTGAGCCCCCGAGCTGCCACCTCGAGCCCCTGCTGCGCACGACCGTCGGGCCCCTCCATCGGCCCATCCTCGATCACCCCCACCGCTGGTCGAGGAACTCCCACTGGTCGGAGCACTGCCTCGCGTTTCCTGACGCCGGTGCTCTCGGGTCTGGCCCTCCCGCGAGAGCCCGCTGCGCTGCTCGCCCGTCGTCTTCTTCTCCTGGCTGCGCTGCCGCTGCCGCTGCCGCGCCCACAGGCGCCACCAGCGCGACGTCCCCCATCGCACTGTCCCAGGCGCCGTCGTCTCGCACCCAGCGCACCAGAGCGTAGCGTTTATCGGTCTTGCTCAGCTTGACCAGGCCTGCCGTCTCGCGCTGCAAGATTCCGCCCCGCCCGTCGCACCATGCCACTATGTGTTGGGCCACGCCGCAGAACTTGCCGACACCCATCACGATGGTTGCTCCGCATCCGCCACCTGGAACTCTAGGATGATGTTTCTGTTGCCCGCTATGTAGAGTGCCACCGTCTTCGAGTCGAAGTGCATCAAAGAATGCCGCCCGCACCCGCGAGATTCGGGTTCCTGCTTGCCGCAATCAAAGCGCATGGAAAGTCGCGCTGCCCACACACGCGCTCGTCAGAACAACTCCTGGCGCGCATCCACACGACGCTCCAATCGCCATCGGACCTCCTCTCGGGAAACCCGCGAGAACGTGCTTGCTGCGATCCGCCCTTGCTGCTGAGCCTGTTAGCGTTGCCTCCCTTTGCGGCCACGAGCTGTGTGAGGGGTGTGCCGAAATGGGGGTGGAACCGCATGCAGACCCTGCCGCTTGGGTCGGTGGAACTCCCTTTGGGACAACGGAATGTGCCAGGGGTTGCCGAAATGGGGGTGGAACCCTCCAGCTTGGTCCATCGAGGGTCCAACTGTCGATGCTGAGCTGCCTGCTGGGGAGCTGGCAACCGTGCAAGCGTCCGCGTTCGTGACCTCGTTGGCCGCTCCCTTTTCCGCCTTGATTCTTACATCTGAATAATAATAATAATAATAATAATAGTAATAATAGTAATAATATTAATAATAATAATAATAATAATAATACGAATAATAATAATAATAATAATAATAACAATACTAATAATAATAATGATGATGATGATAATAATAATAATAATAACAATAACAATAAGAATAATAATCATAATGATAATGATAATAATAATAATATAATAATAATAATATGGCTCTTTTACTTTCCTTGCCTCCGTCGAAACAGTCCCTTGAACAGCGGCCTCGACCACCGCAGGTGCAACATGGTCGCTGACAAAAAAAATGCTGACATGCTCCGAAGTGGTCCTGGCCGCGCTCCTCGTCCGTTGCCTGACCCTTGCCTCCACCCTTTTATCTCTTGTATGCCCAGCCTTGCTGCCGCTGTCTGATGCCATTCCTTTTCCGCCGCCGTACTTGCCTCCGCCCTTGCCGTCATACTTAACGTTCGGGGTTGTCTTCGTCAGTGCGTCGACATCTCTCTGGGCGGTGACTCTAGTGGTGATAGTACTCGCGGGCATCCGTCGTCGTAGACCGTCGCCGCTTGCAAGTACTGGACAGCTGTGGCGACCAACTCGTCGCACGTCCGCTAACTCGGCAAGACCGTCTTGATGTCTGTCGGCGCCCTCTGTGGGCATATGATGTTCGTCATGCCCGCGATGAAGACTTCTCCTGGTGCTGTTTCGTACCTGTGCATACCCGTCTCCCTGTCCATGTGGTGCTGCTCGAACTCTGCTAGCGTTTCTGGCAACTGTTGCACATTCAAGATGACCGTCAAAAGACGTTGCCCTCACCACCGTCGCAAGTCCGAATATCTCCACTAACGCCTTCCACGCTTGAGTGACATTCTGAATCTCCACGCCTCGCATGATCAGCTGAGCGCTTGCCTTGGCTGCCATCCCAAAGGCAAGGAGCATTTTCATGCTGGCATCCATACCTGGTGGTCCCATCTGTACATGAACTCGGTCGGCTGATATGTCTGGATATCTTCACTGTTTTGCTGCGTGCAGTGGTGTCGTCGGTTGCTGGTGGTTTGAGGCCTACACCTTGCCACTTCGCTCCGACTGCATCACCTCGCATATGCAATTGTGTGCTCACGCAGATGTATCGTTTCCTGTGGGTGTCCGCGCCTAGGTCTACGTAGACCTCGTCTGGGTCCTCGGCGTGTTCCTCTGGGTCTCCGTGGGCCTCTGGGTTGTGCTTCTTCTCGCGGTCCTGCGTGACCGTCTCTAGCTTGATCTCGTCAAGCTCGTGCGCCGTGGACCGCTTTGCTCTGTCGGCCGCTGGGCGCGCGAGCGAGGCTGGCCAGCGCCGCTGTGGCGCTAGCGGGAACTGGTCGCAGTCAGTCCCACTCCCACGACAACTGTTGTGCCAAAGAGGCTATGGATGAGGAGGGGTGTCAGAGGTCCCCCACCCTCGTACTTATCCTAAACTCACTATACTTCTACTCTCCCCCTCAACCCATTGCACTGCCAAGCAAGGCAACTCATAGCAAAACAGCGCCAGGCAATGTCAGACAATGCCGTTCAGGAAGCGAGCCCCTACTTGGGGTTGCGCCAGGCTCCATGTGTACACCTGTTCTGCTGTTTCGTTATTTGTATATATATATAAATAACAAAAACAAGCAATATTGATGCGTTTCAACGCGCTGGAGGTCCAGAATTCTGGGATTGAGCCGCCTGGCGCTACCATGGCGGCCCCAATCTCTGCCTGACCCATGTCCTGCCCCAGGCCGGGCAAGTGCCGCAGCCGCACCTGCTTGCAAAGCAGCGTGAACTCGTGCTCGTCGTCCACGACCTCGGCGTACCGCGCCCTGCAGTCGCCCGGCAGGACACAGCCGACGGTCGACGGACGAACGGCCAGGACGAGGATCGAAGCTCGGACAAGTTTGTACACCTTCTCATTACGCAAACACGACGCCCACTGACAGCTTTATACATGGCCGGTTCTGGAAACCCTGAACCCAAAAATGTTTTCATCTCTTGGGGGCGCATTTTTTACTTCCGCTGACTTCCGCCGCCCTTCCGCCGACTTCCGCCGGCGGAGGCGGCCTCGTCTTACTTCCGCCGACCTTCCGCCGACCTTCCACCGACCTTCCGCCGCCTTCCGCCGAGGAAGAGATGACAACTCCTTCGATCCTCGACGGCAAGGCCCCTTTTGGAACGCCCCACATGTGGGGGGGCCTCTGGAGGCGTCCCGAGACTGGAGCACTGGACGAGGTTGCCTGGGGCCCCGCTCACCAAGGCTCGGGCCCCAGCTGCCCGAGGCGTTACCTCTTGCGGTGGTCTGCCCACGGGGTCGTTGCCGTCGGTGCCCAAGCGGCCCGCTCAAACCCGCTTTCTGTGGCAACTCGTGGAAGCCTCCCGTACCATCTTGTTGACTCTTGCGGGTCGACGCTAGTCGACGCTGGATCGACGCTCATCGGCGCTAAACCGACGCTACTCGACGCTACCCGACGCTAGATCGGCGCTACCTCACCGACTCCAAAACGCTAGTCAACGCTAGTCGACGCGCGAAAGACGAAATTGAGAGGATACACCAGGCTCCAAAGGTTTGCTGCCGAACCCGATGGGATCCACACGACGATCCGCCGCCGTGCCACGAGGCACGAAAGGGAGTGGTCCTCGGGACCCTTGGTGTCCTGTGCGCCTTGCAATAAAATTCCGGGCGCTCTGGGGCGCTCCTGGGGCCTCCCGCGTGTCCCCGCGGTGCCTTCTCCAGAGGCAGGAGGGCCCCAAGACGTGCCACGAGAGCCCCAAGGGGCCCCCAAGACGGCCAAGTAGTGCCCCGAGTCGCCCAAAGGTCGTTCCACGACCCCCTAGATGGCCTGAAGACGGCCCAGGAGGCACCCAAGGCGCCGAGAGAGGGCTCCAAGAGGCCTCCCAAGACGAGAGGCAAACACTAGGTCTTCCGACGCTCCAAGACGGCCCAGGGGCCACCCAAAGATCGCCCCAAGAACGCCCAAGAGCCACAAGACTGCCCAGAAGGCCAACCAAGACGGCCCAAGAAGAGAAGCTCGAACTGACACTTCGAGCCCTCCGCCTCAAGATGACCTCCCAGACCACCAGCAGGCCCCCCCAGAGGCCCCCAAGAAGCCCCAGGGGGGGCTCAAGAGGCCCAAGTCAGCCCGCAAGAGGCCCCCGAGAGGTCCCCTAGGGGCCCCCAAAACCGCCACCAAGGGGCCTCCCAGGAGACCCCACAGACATCCAGGAGACCTCGGACCTACAACCCGCGCACGCTGGAGGAATGGGCCGAGGGTCTCCAGACAGCTTTTCTGAAGGGGCCCTGGGACACACAAATAGATACACACAAAGCACCGGATTCCCCTGGGCTTTCTGTCCTCCCCCCCACTTCCCAGAGTTTCCCATACTTTCCTGGGAATCGACGACGAATTGTGTCTGTGTGTTTTTTCCCCTCCTTGCAGCTTTTCGCCCGTCGAGCTGACCGCGCGCAGGGTTGCCTTCCAGATCACCCCCTCGGCCGTGGCAGACGGCGGGAGGCGTGCGAGCGCGTCCGCCACCGCCGCCGCGGTGACGTCCACGAGCTGCCACCGCGCAATCTCCGCGCTCGCCGGCTCACGGTGCAGCGCAAGGCGCAGCTTCACGCCCTGCAGGAGAGCATCCACCTTGGTGGACTCTGGTGCGAGGCGAGGACTTATCCATGTCCACCGCCTGGGAAGCGACGTCCTGGTGCCCCAGCGGGCGGTGGATATGGATATGGATAGATAGATATATATATATATATATATATATATATATCGGCCCTCGGGGGCCCGAATATGTCCATATCCACCGCCTGACGAGGCTCCGAAAACTGACCCTCCAGGCGGTGGTCATGTACCTATACGACCACCCTTCGGGTGATAAGGAGGTTCGGGGGGGGTCTCACTATCGATCTCACGATCGATCTCACTATCGGTCTCGCTCGATCGATCTCACTCGATCGATCTCACAATCAATCTCACCCGATCTATTTCATTCGATCGATCGCACAATCGATCTGAGGATCAATCTCACAATCGATCTCACTATCGATCTCACTATCAATATCACAATCGATCTCACATCCGGTCTCACAATCGGTCTCATTATCGATATTACAATCAACGTCATCATCACCATCAACAACATCATCGTGACCAACGTCATCAACATCATCATCATCATCATCATCATCATCATCATCGTCATCATCATCATCATCATCATCATCATCATCATCATCATCATCATCATCATCATCATCATCATCATCATCATCGGGACACCATCATCAGCATCACCTCATCACCATCATCATCAACAGCTTCATCACCATCATCATCATCGGGACACCATCATCGTCACCATCATCGTCAGCATCATCAGCATCACCATGATCATCATCGGGACACCATCATCATCAACATCAGCATCATCACCATCATCGGGCCACCATTATCAAAATCATCATCAGCACCTCATAATCATCATCAACATCATCATCATCGTCATCATCCTCGGGACACTAGCATCGTCATCATCATCATCAACAACATCATCATCATCGGGGCACCATCATCATCACCATCATCATCAACAGCATCATCAACCCCAGCATCATCATCGGGACACCATCATCAACCCCATCATCATCTTCATCATCATCATCATCTCATCATCACCTCATCATCATATCATCATCATCATCATCATCATCATCATCATCATCATCATCATCATCATCATCATCAACATCATCGGGATCATCAACACCATCATCATCGGGACACCATCATCATCAGCAATATCATCATCAACATCATCATCATCACCATCGGGACACCATGATCATCACCACCATAACCATCATCATCATCGACATCGTCAACATCGTCAACATCATCATCATCATCATCGGGACACCGTCATCATCACCACCATCACCATCATCAACATCAACATCATCGACATCAACATCATCATCATCATCATCATCATCATCATCATCATCATCATCATCATCATCATCATCATCATCATCATCATCATCATCATCATCATCGGGACACCGACGGAACACCGGCGGGACACCGGCGGGACACCGCGCGGCACCAGACGCTGGAGGGGAGTCATTTGGTCCGGCCGCGCCTCAGCCACAGCGGGACACCGGCGGGACACTGCGCGGCACCAGTTGCCGGAAGGGAGTCATTTGGTCCAGCCGCGCCTCAGCCACAGGAGACTTTCCTCTCGCCCGCCCACGCAGCTTCGCCTCGCCCGCACGCACGAGACGCACGAACACGAAACCGAAACCGATTTCCCGGTATGGGGGCTCTCCGTTCCACTTCGATCTCACCCCCTCACCTCCGATAAATTCCCGCCTCGGATCTGGGGACCCTAAGGGGCAGCGGCACCGGTCCCTCTCAACGGGACAACACTCACTTCCGCCAACTCCCACCAGGCTCACGTCAACGTACGCCTCTGCCCTGCTTCTACCAAGTTCCCTCGACCGCTGTCTTCCGCCGAGGGGAAGCGGTCAATTCTCCGCTCTCTCAACCTACATCGAAGCGAGAAATCGGATCGAATCGGAGTGTACATCGAATCGGGCCGCATCGGCACGGAGTCGGAATCGAATCGGACCAGCCGCGCCAGGATGCGCAACGACGCCATGTGAGCATCGGACCGCATCGGATCGTCGGGAAATCGGAACCGACTTGGATCGGGCCAGACGAGGTCGAGGTCGAACCGGATCGATCGGATCGAAATGGACCACGGAATGTGGGGCCCCTTCCGGCACGGCAGCACCTGCTCGTCCGACAGGCCCCGCACGTCGGCTCCGCACCCCGTGAGGCACGTCCGGTAGGCGCTCGAGCTCGCCGGCATCTGGCATGGGCCACCGCCTGCGAGCAGGGGCCCGCCCGGCCCGCGCCCGAGACCACGAGGGGCGGCGGTGCGGCTTGGGCCGGCGGGCGCGGCGAGGGCGTCAGCAATAAGCTCCTGTCGGAGTGAGAGACACCCTGCGGCAGGTTCTGACACTGCGTGGAGATTGTGCACGCTTGAGCGATCGGCGGCCCCTCGATCGCCAGGTCGTTCCGTGTTGGCCGATTCTGGGCCACTGGTGGCACTCAATCTTCAGCACCCGCGGCGGGGCCGCCGCCGCGACGACACGACACGAACCTACCATGCAATGGAGGGCAGAAGCACCACCCTCAAAAGAAGCACCACGGCAGGCGAGGCCTTCCCTTGAACCCCACTGGAAGGATGGAATCGAGCAGGGCAGGGCTGCTTCGGTAAACGCCTGGGGCTGTTTGGTAGAAGCGCCAGGTGGGGTCCTTCCCTGATCCCCGCTGCCCACTCCCCGCTTTCCTCGACTGCCGTCTCGTGAGGAGGAGGAGGAGGAGGAGGAGGAGGAGGAGGAGGAGGAGGAGGAGGAGGAGGGGAGGAGAAGGAGAAGGAGGACGAGGAGGCGGAGGACGAGGCGGAGGAGTAGGAGGGGGACGACGACGACGACGACGACGACGACGACGACGACGACGACGACGACGACGACGACGACGACGACGACGACGACGACGACGACGACGACGGCGGCGGCGGCGGCGGCGGCGGCGGCGGCGGCGGCGGCGGCGACAACGACGAAGATGACGACGGCGGCGGCGGCGTCGGCGGCGGCGGCTGCGACGACGACGACGAGGGCGGCGATGGTGGTGAGGGCGGAGAGGACCAAGCGGGCGCCTAACTGGCCGCGCCGTTCCATGATGTCCCTGACCGCGAGCAGCTGGAGGCGTGCCTCTGTGCGCAGCGAGGCGGAGCTCGGGAGGGGAAGGGAGGAGCTGGCGGCGCCCACAGGGGAGCGGCGCGACGGGGGGGTCTAAGAAGGCGCCAGGCCCTTCTTAGCAGAAGGCTTCTTGAGAGTGCTTCATAAGGCTTCTTAGTAGAAGACTTCTTCAGAAGGCCTTGGATTAAAGTTGCCTCAAGAAGGCTTCTAAGAAGCCTTCTTGTAAGGCAGGGGCCTTCTTAAGAGGGCCCGGTGGCTTCTGAGCAGCCTCTGTGGAAGCCTCCGGGGCCTTCTGGCCAGGCCCCCGCCTTCTCCGAAGTCCCGGCGCCTCCTTAGAAGCTCCCCCCCCCTTGCGCCAACCCCGTAAGGGCACCGCCAAGGAGGAGGACGCGGCAGCCACAGGGGAAGGTGGCCGGGAGGAGGAGCAGCAGCAGAAAGACTAGAGGAGTGGGAGCAGCAGCAGAAGGAGTCGAGGAGGAAAAGCAGCAGAAGGAGTACGTAGAGGAGGAGAAGCGGCAGCAGAAGGAGTAGAGGAGGAGGGGAGAGACAAGGTTGGTAAATGTTTTCATTGTCCTCGTCAGATCAGGAAGAGGAGGAGAAGGAGGTTTTCGGATACACGTAAAGCGAGATTGCGGATTTTGGCTGGATTGCATCACATTACGGATTTCTGTTGCAGACAGGAGAAGGAGCAGCAGCAGAAGGAGTATAGGAAGGCGTGCTCCTCGAATGGCTAACCACGCCTTTTTGTGTTGACGCTGCAAGACAGAACAAAGAAGCTTGGGGCTTTGCTCCGCGAGCGCCTCTTGGGCGCCTCTTGGGGCGCCCACGTCGGCGGCTAGGCAGAGCAACTGCGCTGGCGAAAGAGCTATATAAACGGGGACACCGTTTAGCGATTGGTGCCACAATGCAAGAAAGACTGTCCCGAGAACACGGAATGGACCGTGCCGCGAACGCAAACCAGAAACAGGCCCACCCCAACCACCAGAGCCACACCAAAACCAGAACAACCGTTCCGATGTCACCAGAACAGCGTTACGACCTCACCAGAACAGGCCGCCGCGCGTACGCTGAAACAGCCGCCCGACCCAAGAGAAGGCAAAAACAGCGAGGAGGAGGTACAGGAGGAGGGGAACGAGCGAGAAGAGAAAAACGATGAGGAGAAGGAGGGGGGGGAAGACACCGACGACGCCGACGAACTTCACCCCAAATCCGATCGAGCAGATCTCCCAGCCGCGTCCAGCCGCAGCGACGAGAAGAGCCCCCAAAGGCTGACAAACGAAAAAAAACGTCAGAACGAACCCCAGGGTCGGAGAAAACGGCACCGCGGCCCAAGCGCCGAGAGAAGCAAAAAAAACAATAAAACGCACCAGGGTCGGAGAGAACGGCCCCCGGACCCAGGGGCCGAGAAAACCAGAAAACGAGAAAACGAGCCAGGGTCCGAGAAAACGGGACCGCGACCCAAAGGCCGAGAGAAAGAGAGAACACGAGCAAACGAACCAGGGTCAGAGAAAACGAGACCGCGACCCAGCGGGCAAGAAGACGGGAAAACATCAAACGAGAAACAGGGTCGAGGAAAAGGAGACCGCGACCCAGGGGCTCAGAAAACGAGACAACGAGAAAACGAAGCACAGCCTGAGAAGACGACATCACGGCCCAGGGGCCGAGAAGACCAGAAAGCGAACCAGGGCCGGAGAAAACAGCACCGCGACCCAGGGGCCGAGGAAACTAGAAAACGAGAAGACGAACCAAAGCCAGAGAAAACGAGACCGCGACCCACGGGCCAATCCGCCAGCCCCCTTGTGGGGCCACCAGGCTGTATGCCGAAGGTTCGCAGTTTCCTGTACCAGTTGCAGCTTCCAGTTTCCACTGTTACAGTTCTGCTTCTTGCTGCTTACGGTTCCTTGTTGATGGACCGCGCGAGGGGGGGGAGGCCCAAACGGGCAGGTTTAGCACGCCCTGAGCGTGTTGTCTGAATTGCTGGGGTGGGTAAAAAATGTCACCACACACGCAGATCGGCGGGGTCAGGGTCCACAAACACAAAGGATTTGCCACATTTCTGACATTCTGTGGCACCCCTCACGCAGGTCGGCGGGGTCAGGGTCCAGAAACACAAAGGATTTGCCACATTTCTGACAATCGGTGGCACCCCTCACGCAGATCGGCGGGGTCAGGGTCCGAAAACCGGTGGGATGTACCACATTTCTGACAGTCGGTGGCACCCCTCACGCAGATCGGCGGGGTCAGGGTCCAAAAACACAAGGGATGTACCACATTTCTGACAGTGGGTGGCACCCCTCACGCAGATCGGCGGGGTCAGGGTCCAAAAACACGTGGGATTTGCCACATTTCTGAAATTCGATGGCACCCCTCACGCAGATCGGCCGGGTCAGGGTCCGAAAACCGGGGGGATTCTCAACATTTCTGAAATTCGGTGGCACCCCTCATGCAGATCGACGGGGTCAGGGTCCGAAAACACAGAGGATTTGCCAGATGTTTTAAAATTCGGTGGCACCCCTCACACAGATCGGCGGGGTCAGGACAAAAGGGACTTCCAAGATTTTCAAATTCGGGGAGAAGATTTGGGAACAGCATACGGGAGCAAATGAAAATACAACAGCGAGTACAACAATAGACTCGCAATCTCCGTTCGTCTTTCCAATTACCCATCGTCTTCGCATGAAGTTCCGACGCTGCTTCACGGTGAAGCCAAAGCCTCATGACTTCGCCCTTCCATGGCCCATTCTCCGAGAGAGGGGGCCGGCGGCAAAGGGCGAAGCCCTTACGGATAAAACGAGAAAACGAGAAAACTAACCAAGGTTGGAGTGTTAAGGCCCAGTAATACGACCGGCGTGCAGACCCCCCCTTCGCGACAAGGGGTGCGTCGCGCGTTCGTCGCCCATGCGCCGCTCGTTGGAGAGAACGAGACGGCGACCCCAGGGGCCGAGAAAGCAAGAAAACGAACCAAAATCGGAGCAAACGCGATCGCGACGCAGCGGCAGAGAAACAGGAAAACGGGGAACAAGACAGGCCTGAGAAAACGAGACCCCGACCCAGGCGCCGAGAAAACGAGAAAGGACCGAACGACTAACATCCGACCGAACTCTGAGAGGACCAAGCAATCCCAATCATCGGTGGGGACTCCGAGCGTTTTCAATCCCCTGAGTGTTCGGTCGGAGGTGAATCGTTCGGTCGCCTCTGTGTTCAAGTGCTTCGTTCGGCCCCCTCTCAACCGAAATCAAGGGGGACCGACCGACCCACCTCCGCCCGACCAATCTATGGAGTAATAGATGTGGCGCAAACTGTGTTGTGCAATTGATATTGTGCGGTGCATCTTTGTGCAATCTACGATGTGCGATGTATCCTTGCTGGGGAGCGTATGCATTGCAATATTTGTGACGCGGTCCATGTGAAACCACATATATAGAGAGATGGTACAATCTATGTGTCGCAATATCCGCCGGCCCCCTTGTGGGGCCACCAGGCTGTAGGCCTAAGGTTCGCAGTTTCCTGTACCAGTTGCAGCTTCCAGTTTCCGTTGTTACAGCTCTGCTCCTTGCTGCTTACTGTTCCTTGTTACAGTTCTGCTTCTTGCTGCTTACTGTTCCTTGTTGCTGGACCGCGCGAGGGGGGGGAGGCCCAAAACGGGCATTTTTACCACGCCCTGAGCGTATGCTCTGCATTGCTGGGGTGGACAAAAAATGTCACCACACACGCAGATCGGCGGGGTCAGGGTCCAAAAACAAATGGGATTTGCCACATTTCTGACATTCGGTGGCACCCCTCACGCAGATCGGCAGGGTCGGGGTCTAAAAACAAATGGGATTTGCCACATTTCTCCTATTTGCTGGCACCCCTCATGCAGATCAGCGGGGTCAGGGTCCAAAAACACATGGGATTTGCCACATTTCTGACACTCGGTGGCACCCCTCATGCAGATCGGCGGGGTCAGGGTGCAAAAACAAATGGGATTTGCTACATTTCTGAACTTCGGTGGCACCCCTCACGCAGATCGGCGGGGTCAGGGTGCAAAAACACAAAGGATTTGCCACATTTCTGACATTCGGTGGCACCCCTCACGCAGAACGGCAGGGTCAGGGTCCAAAAACAAAAGGGATGTGCCACGTGTCTGAAATTCGGCGGCACCCCTCACGACGCAGATCGGCAGGGTCAGGGTCATAAAATACAAAGGATGTGCCACATTCCTGAAATTCCGCGGCACCACTCACGCAGATCCGTAGGGTCAGGGTCCAAAAACACTAGGGACTTGCCACATTTCTGCAGTTCGGTGGCACCCGTGACGCAGATCCGTAGGGTCAGGGTCGAAAAACAAACAGGTCCCGACCCTGCTTCACGGCGGCGCCCAGACCTCCTGATTTAGCTTTTGCATCTCCCATTATCCGAGACAAGGGGCCCGCGGCATGGGGCGAAGCCCTTACGGATATATTGTACGATCTGCGCTGCGCAATGTATGTGAATTAGTACGTGTCGTGCAATCTATGTAGTGTAATATACGTTGTGCAGTTTACGTGGTGTACTAACCACAAAAAAATGTGCAAGCCATGTGGTGCAATTTGTGTTGTGCAAGTTGTATGGCGCAACCTACGTGGTGCCATCTATGTGGTGCAATAGAGGTGGTGCAATATATGTGCTGCAATCTACGCGGTGCAATCTATGTGGAGCAAGATGCGTGTGCAATATATGTGATGCATTATTTGTTATGCGATGTAACGGCGGCGACGACGAGGGGCGACGGCGGCGACGGGGCGGCATCGACGACAACATAGCCGCCAGAGCGAAAAACGGAGCCAGACGACAGGTGGAGACGAGGCGGCGCTCAGGAGGCAACTACTGGGAGGTTTTCGTCGGAAATACTACAGGGGATTAAATCCCATTTGGGAGCTATCACGCTGGAGTGGGCCTCGGATTAAGCCGGATTAAGCCGGATTAAGCCGGATTTCGGACCAGGGCAAAATCAGAATTTGACCTCCCAGGAGTTGCATACGAAGGAGACGAGGCGGCGCTATCAAAGCGGCAGACAAGACCACACAACGGGCGGCGACGAGGCAGCGACGGCGCCAACACAGTCGCCAGAACAGCAGACAGGCCCCATTCCTTCGAGGAGAGAAAAAAGCAGAAGTGGAAACACGGAAGAAAGAACCAAGTAGACCAGGCTCATCCTGCATCCCCGCAAACAGTGGTGGCGGTGCGGCACCTACTCCCCAGGGCGGAGGGAAAGGTGGCTGGCGAGCGCCCGCTTAGTCTGAAGCAGGTTCTGCGGAGCGGGCGCGGTAGGCCACAGGGCCGGAGTAGTCATCGACCCCCCCGCACACACACACACACACACACACACCATCTCTGACACAACATACAACACTAATTTTGCTGCAATATCTGGATTGTGTTCGGGCGTCTCACGATCACTTTACATTAATGTCTGTTTTTGTTGACAGGGACGGCGGGGGTGCCAGCATATAGTCTGGCGCATGTAGGCTTAACATGCAACTACATCTTAGATCATACGCGGGCGCCCCGCAATCCTTCCGAACTGTCATTTGAGCGACGATCAAAAACGAGTCTTTCGCGAGATGACGTAGCACCCTTACGCGGTGGCTTACGCAGGCCGCCAGCGCGGCACGACACACTGGCAGCGAGGGCGCTCACGCGCGAGTGCACACGGGCAGCTTACGCACCAATATCGGCGCAGACGACCCCGTTTTGTGGCGTCGCTCATTTGGCAACAAAGCAATACGACCGACCATGGGGGGGGATCCCATGGGGCGAGGGGCGGCACGTCCGTGGTAGCCACTCCAGTCGAGCGCCCGGCCTGGGCGTTGGCTCTGGACACGCGAGCACTGGTCTGAGCCAAAGTCGACGGCGGTGGCCGTGCTGGACGCCGCGGGGCGGGTGCGACCGAAGACCGCCATGCTAGACGCCACATCAGCCAGGCGTGCCCGTGGCTGGAGCAAAAGCTGGCGCTGTCGGCCTGCGCGAGGCGGCGCTGGGGCCGCCGGCTGGACGGCCGAGGCCTGCGCGCCGGCGGCCCTCCTCTGCCGGGCCGCCGCCTGCAGGGCAGAGGCCCTGCAGGCGGCCTCGAGCTCGGCAGCGCGGCGCTGCCCGAGCGCATGGCGCGGCGGGGCCGTCCTGCTGGGCGCGGAGGGCTCACGGGCCCACCTCGGCGCCGGACCTGCAAAGCGGAGGTGCGGCGCACTGGCCGGGCAGCCATGGGCGGCCAGCGTCGCGGCGCTCGGCCGCCTGCGCCACTCGGCTGCCCCGCGGCAGGGCCGCCGCGCCAGCCACAGGGCGGGGCGCCGTCCGCGGTTCCGCCTCGACCAGGTGCGTCGGACTCGTCGTCGGGGAGGCCTGGGCCGCCGCCGCAGTGGCGGGGCCTCCGTCGCAATCGTCCGCGTATCCCCCGAAACCGAACGGGTCACAGTCACGGTCTAGGCCAGTGCCCGTCAAAGCCTGGGCGCGAGCCCATGGTCGCTAGATCCGCAGCAGGTTAGAAGGAGAGCAGAGGGCGGAGGACGGGCGGCAGAAGGATGAAGGAGGAGGGAAAGGACAGGAATGACGAAGCAGGAGGCATGAGGGGAGGAAGGGGGAAGAGGGAGTGCGAGAGTGACGACGACGACGACGACGACGACGATGATGATGTGGATGATGGTGGCGATGATGATGATGATGATGATGATGATGATGATGATGATGCTGATGCTGATGCTGATGATGATGATGATGATGCTGATGCTGATGCTGATGCTGATGCTGATGATGATGATGATGACGATAACGGATGATGACGATGATGATAAGGGTGATGTTGTTGATGATGATGGTGGTGGTGATGACGGCGATGTGATGTTGGCGATGATGGCGACGATGATGCTGGTCATGGTTAGGTTTGTGATGATGCCGGTGGTGGTGGTAATGGTAGCGGTGATGATGCTGACGATGGTGACAGAGACGGTGAGAGTGACGGTGAGGGTGATGGCGATGGTGATTGTGATGGAGATGGTGATTGTGCGGGCGACGGAGATGGCGATGGTGATAATGATGGCGCTGGTGACGGCGGTGCTGTTGTCGATAAGGATGCTGATGATGGTCATGGTGGCGGCGATGATGATGGCGACGTGATGATGATGTCGACAGTGATGACGACGATGATGGAGATGACGACGACGATGACTGTGAACGATCATAGTGATGGTGATAGCGATGGTGGCGGTGGTGGTAATGGTGATGTTGACGGTGATGGTGATGGTGATAGTGACGCTGATAACGATTATGTTGAAGATGATGATGACAACGACGACGATGATGATTAAGAGCTCCTCGACGCTAAAGCAAGACAGCGATATACTCGTTTATGCCGGATCAAGAAAAATGTGGCTCGCCGCACAGAGCTTGACCCCCGAAGGCCGCAAGGGTGGCGCGTGGTGCCTGCAGGGTACTACAGAGCAGCGGTGCCTGCGGGCATGAGCAGGTGAGGTGACCAGGGATGCCAGCGTTCCAGTGGTTGGCGGCGAATGGGCGGCGGCCGAAACGAGCAACGAGGACCCAATTTCACACACGGCGCACCAGGGGCGCGGGCGGAGGGCACGAGGGGGAGGAGGGGGGGAGAAGACCTTGTCTGGCATGCCAGCCACAGTCAGGGATCCAACGTGAAGAAAAAGCATTGGCTCGGGTATCACAACGTGGTACTGCTCGGCTCCGTGGAACTGGGTGCCGACGTATCACTCGATTCCGTCTTGACGGGCACCGTGGTACCTCTCGGCAGCGTCGCAAGTGTCGACTCCACAGTGTGGGACATCGACTTGGTGTTCATCGGGGTGGACGCCTTGGAACTGCTCGCCTCCGTAAAACTGGTTGTCGACGGGTGGCGCGCCCTCGTCGTAGTGGACGATGTGGTACTGCTCGGCGCGTGAACCGACAGTGATGATGATGCTGATGACGGTGATGATGATGATGGTGATGGTGATGATGATGACGATGATGATGACGATGTCGATGATGATGTTGTTAGTGATGATGATGTTGATGATGGTGGTGGCACTGATGATGCTAACGATGACGACAACGACGACGACGATAATGATGATGGTGATGATAGTGATTGTGATGGTGATGATGATGATTACGCTGATGATGGTGATGATGATGGGAATGATGATGATGATGATGATGATGATGATGATGATGGTGAATGATGGTGATAATGACGATGACGGTGATGATGGTGGTGATGGTGGTGATACTGATGAGGATGAGTATGAGGATGAAGATGGTGCTGATGCAGATGATGATGGTGGTGGTGATGGTGATGATGATGAGGATGGTGATGATTGCGGTGGGGATGATGTTAATGATGATGGCGTGGGTGATGTTGGTGATGATGGTGATGGTGGTGTTGGTGATGATGGTGATGTTGATGATGAAGATTTCGATGATGATTATGATGGTGATGCTGGTGAAGGAGGAGGACGAGGAGTAGGAGAGAGGGAAAAGACACGAAGCAAACATGGACGAGGAATTACATCCCCAGGACGAAAGTTTTTCCCTCTTGGGCCTGGAGCGAAGATTTGAAGTCTTAAGCAGACGCGTGTGAGATACCAGCCGTCGGATCCAATGAAGTTCGCGGGGACCCAATTTTGGTTTTGGTTTGTGTTTCGGTGGATCCTATTTCCGTCCGCGCGGATCCGACTTCGGATTTGCTGGATCCGTGTTCGGTCTTATTTTTCACGGGGGATCCGATTTCTACATTGTTTTTAATTTATATTACTAACTTAAAACAGGGAACCGGGAGAAATCGGATCCGCGGACCCCGCGAACCGCCCGTGTTAAGATTCTACAGGGGAAGGAGGTTCGGTAATTAACTTTCCACGATGGGCGCTGCGTCGTCTCGCGCACTCCCATCAACTCCCCGCGCGAGCGGGCCCCATTCAACATGAATACATACATCCCTCTCACCCCGGTTGCTGCAAACAGCTCGTCTGGTCGCCGTCCGTTCGGCGGCGCCGACGTTGTCTCGCGAACTCCTCATGGCCATTTTCACCTCAAGAGGAAAATCTTTCGTCCTGCGTAAGTAGGAAGAAGGGATCAAGGAGCAAGCAGGAGGAAACATCAGGAAGGACCGAGGGGAGATGAGGAGCATGAACAGTAAGATCAGGAGCAATGGGATCAGAAGCAACAGCTGGAGGTAATAGGCAAGAGGTAAGAGCAACAGGCATAATGAAATAGCTCGATCTGGATCACAACGAAGAGAAAAGTGGAATGACAAAGGCAGCACTGCCAGTTTTCAAAGTGCAACAGCGGTGCGAATCAGACTTCTTGCACGAGACTGGGCACGACGCTTTGGCCTGAGCTGGCAAGCCCCAGATCTACCTGAAGAGCCAAGCGTACTCGTGAATGATCATCTTCATTATTGACTGGCACTCTAGGAACTGGATGTGAGACGCCCGGCCAATGAAGGTGTCCAAATTCTGCTCTGGGATGCTGAAATCCACGTCGAAGCGGATCACCTCAGTCTGGGGGGACGAGGAGGACGGCGAGACGGAGGAGATCGGGAAGGAGAAGGAGCAGGAGGAGGCCGACGAGGAGGAGGAGGAGGAGGAAGAGGAGGAGGACGACGACGACGACGACGACGAGAAGGAGGACACCCTGAGCTCATGCTCTGCGGCGGGGGGCCTCGGCCGCACTCTGCCACCACTCGCCGCCGAGCGAAGAAAAAAAAGGCGGCGCCGGAGCAGACGTGCCGAGCCGAGGCGCGCCCTCGCGGGCGGGGAGCCCGCGAGGCGCGCCGAGGCCAGAGGCTCGGGCACACGCCCGCATGCCCAGGCCTCCGCGTGCCTCGCGTAGGGGGCCGCACGCGAACCCCACCCCTACCCCCCAACGAGTTCTGAGGGGGAGGGTGGGGTTCCCTTCGCTCGGGAGCTCCCGAAGGAAGGGAACCCCGCCCTCGCCCTCAGAAATCGTGGGGGGGGGGTAGGGGGGGGGTTCGCCTGTGGCCCCCTACGCGAGGCACGCCGAGGCCAGAGGCTCGGGCACACGCCCACGTGCCCAGGCCTCCGCGGATCGGGGAGGGCGCCCCCCGGAACGCATGTTAGGAGGCAACCTTCTGAGAGGTTTTTTCGTCGGAAGGTCTAGGGAGGGTTTAAGCCCCGCTGGGGGGCTCTTACGCCAGAGGGGGCCTCGGATCAAGCGGGATTAAGCTGGAGTAAGCGGGATTAAGCGGGATCAAGCGGGATTAAGCCGGGTTAAGCCGGGTTAAGCCGGATTTCGGACCAGGGCAAAATCAGAATCTGACCTCCCAGGAGTTGCACCCGCACGTATGGCGCCCGTGCCGCCCGACTTGGCGACGAAGCGCGCCGATGCTGCACGGAAGCGAGGCTCGTCGCCGATGCGCGCGCCTCGATGCGTGCCTGCATCGCCTCGAGAGACGGAGGCGGAGGCCGCCAGCACGACGGGCGCCTCCCCCGCGCACAGCTCTGCCAGAGGGGGGGGGGCGCTGCTCTGCGCGCGGGCACCACCTGCGCCGAGCCTCGGCGAGCAGCCGCGCAGGGGGCGGCCGAGCTCTCCGCCGTCGCCCTGCCCGTGCGCACGACCCGAGAGGCCCCGCCCCGCTCAAGAGGGGGGGCGCCGCTCTACAGTCGGGGCGTTGACCTCAGGAACCCTAAATAAGGAACGAGGCCCCTTTTTTCCATAAGTTAACCTTCGATTTCCTGTCGAAAACATAAGGAAAGCCTGAGGCAAGCTGTGAAACATTTAAGGAACGCGGAGCCCCTCCCCAACGAAAAGGGTTCCTTCTTCAGGGCGGCCCCGATTGTACTGCCTGGAGGCGGCGCGTCTGCGCTCCATCCAGGTGGTCCGGCGTCCCGCCTCGCGCGGAGGGCGGCTGCCTTCGCGCTCCACGCGCGGCCCCCCTTCGATGCGTTTCCTACGAGGACGCCAACGACAGGGATGTGTGAGTCCGCAGCGTTGCACTCGAGACTTCCAATGCGAGCGAAAGCATCATGCGACGACCTCGCCGCCGAGATCTATGACAGCCCCGACAGCGGCAGGCCGTGCTTACACTCTCTTCTCTCTAATAACTCTAGAGAGGAGGGCAGCTCTCCAGTCCAGTCAGCGAAGCGCGAAGCGCGGTCATCTTCGTGGCCCTGCGGATGACCTGGGAACACGCACCGCCCGAGTCAACAAGCATCTCCTCCCTGCCACCCCGCTGCGGGCGCCAGCCCTGGCTGGCACCACAGCCGCAGTCTGGCCTGGCGATGCCAATGTGCCACCGTGTGGGTCCCCTGGCGCGTTGGGGGGAGGGACGCCGTGGAGGCCGACGGGCACCTTCAGCGTGCTCTGTGTGAGCGGCAGCGCAGCTGTGTGCGGAAAGTCGGCGGTCACCACATCCTACGGACGGAACGCTGAAGCTGACCTGCACCACCTTCACCTGGGACACCGCCGTGCTGGTCCGCTTGCACCGCCACGGCAGCCAGGCCCTTGTCCTGGCGCCACAGGCTGGCTCCGCAGGGGCATTGGGGGGAGCCACCTTCGAGGACGACATCCGCGGCCGACACCACGCCACGAAGATATACGCCGGCGCGCGCTGCTGCTGGCGCCTCCTCCTCCTCCTTCCCCTCCTCCTCCTCCTCCTCCTCCTCCTCCTCC